GGCACGGTAGGACCAAAAGACCACGATGATCGCTCTTAGTTGAGCTGAAGTATTCACCAACCTGAACGAGACAGAAGAATGGCTTGTTAAACCACATAGTCGCTCCCGGTCCACCGTGCCCACTGAAAGCGTAGTGTCGGTGCTGCCTTATAAGGTGCTCTGCGGCAGTCACATGGGGTGCCGACTGCGTCTGCGCACGGGTGTCAAGAAGCACGGATATCGCACTGCTGACAGTATCACGATGTGGCTCCTCAGATGACGCTGAATACTGACGAAGCTTGCCAAATTCGGTTGGTTCGAGCTGCGGATTTATTCCGGAAGGTACACGTTCCCGTCGATGTGTGAAGCCGGCGGATCCAAGAATAAGCACCTGAACGAGACAGAAGAATGGCTTGTTAAACCACATAGTCGCTCCCGGTCCACCGTGCCCACTGAAAGCGTAGTGTCGGTGCTGCCTTATAAGGTGCTCTGCGGCAGTCACATGGGGTGCCGACTGCGTCTGCGCACGGGTGTCAAGAAGCACGGATATCGCACTGCTGACAGTATCACGATGTGGCTCCTCAGATGACGCTGAATACTGACGAAGTTTGCCAAATTCGGTTGGTTCGAGCTGCGGATTTATTCCGGAAGGTACACGTTCCCGTCGATGTGTGAAGCCGGCGGATCCAAGAACAAGCACCTGAACGAGACAGAAGAATGGCTTGTTAAACCACATAGTCGCTCCCGGTCCACCGTGCCCACTTTTCATGTAAAAGACGACCTTAGTGTTGCTGAATCGTGTTTGCTTGAAACATGCATTTATTGAATACACATAATTTTGCTTGAATAAAAAGATAACTAATATGAATGTAAAATATGGCTTCCATTTTTCACATCAGGGTCATGAGTTTACATGACCTGGCCCGGTCATGTAATGTTATACAAATCCAATTATGAGCTTTGTTGACGAACACTTATTAGTCAACATGTTCTTGCTTTTTTTATTTCTTTGCCATTAAAATGACTCCACCCGAGCCAAGCACTCATCTAAAAACTTGTACATAGCAAAGTATAGGCACTCCAAACAAGGCTCAAGTGAACCACGGCAGTAATTTTTGTTTTCACGAATACTAGTGGCGAATACCAATAATAATGATTTATTCTACCTTCCGATTATTGTCCTTTATATTGTAGAAACTGCATTTTAATTGCACTGCTGTTTTTACGCCCCGTATTGTGCTTTTCGTGCATGGATTCAACTGACTGGCACCTGAATTAAAGTCATAGGCACTTGGATTAAACACGGTGGCACTTGGATCGAATTCACTGGCACGTGGCCTGATTAAGTTGGCGCTTGGATTAAATGTTTGGCACATGGACCAAAGAGCTTGGTGCTCAGACTATTTCAATGGCATGCAGATTATTTAGGCTGCCACTTGGATTAAACTGAGAGGGGAAAACCTGTAGTAGTCAAGTATGGCAAGGATGGCTTACATGCAGAGCTGCCTGTCACAGACAGCCTCTTTTCATACAGAAGACCATTCTCACTTGTTTAGGGCTGTTAGCGCCCACTGTAGAACGTCGAAACAGCAGGTTGGCCAATAGCAGGCATAAATTGAGTCTGGATGAGATGCATGTCTTGCCATAGGGTGATGCCATGTGCCTGTGCAGCGCTCTGTATTCTGCTCACATTACTCAGGGGGCCACACTTGCATCTAAGAAAATTGAAAAACAGCAATGTAGCTGATGTAACTTGTTTCACTCGGGCCATCCCTTCTTCTGTAGCTTCCAGGCCACTCGTAGAGACTAGAAAAGAGAGATAACTCTTTCGTTACCGTGCGATATGGTTGTTTTTCATGTGCCTCGAGAAAATAGTTTTGCCAGTTTGAAAAGTACTCCAGCACGCATTGTAGCATACTAAACTTTGCAGAATGAAATGCTCTTTCCATAAAATATATGTTGTGGAGCAACAAAAATATTTTAAAATGAAGAAAATGTGAAAAATGTGAAACTCTTTATCACCAGCTGGTAAACAGTGCAGTAAAAAATACTATGTGTAAAAATATTCAAAACAAAGAAAATTTATAATATAAATTTTGTAGATAAATGACCCAAAACTGTATAAAAATAATAATGTTGCACAAAATGTTTCTCTTCACATAGACAAAGAAAATCAGAACCGAGGTGCTGCTTCATTGCTCATGCCATACGGTGAAGCATTGCATGGTTTTTCGTGAGGTACAAGTGTACTTGTACACTCTTCTCAGTAAATTTTCGTTGCCTTGCAATAAGAGTGTCCAGGTATTACAATATAGATGGATACCGGTGATGTGAATAATTCTATATAAATAAGATGTCTAATGAACTTAGTTATTTCATCTAGCGTCACCTATTTCTAAGAGCCACCTCACTCCGCATAAGTTGCTGTTCCAATATATGCATCAAAGCTTATTCCTTTGCATCTTTGCACATATAGTAATATAAAAAAAAGCAGAATATTGCGCGCAGTTCTAAAATGTTTTGCACTGCTCAGTAGTCAGGGCCAAGATGTGCTCCTGGGGCCTTCTTGCCGTTAGGAGAGGCTCTGCAGCCAGTGCCACCACACCATGCCCTAGCGAAGTGTGGACCACCCACGTAACCCGAGTGACTATAGCATTATGCACAAAAGTCGAAAGCTATACGCACTTGCGGCGGAGGAGATAACTTGAGGATGTAATCGAAACAAACCTATGAACGGCTACGAGTGTCTCAGGCTGATGCAAAACATCGTCTTCATAAAACTTGAAGCTGTGTTGCTGTCATCCACGAAATCTCGGCTCATTCTCACTCAATTCAGGTGGGGTCGCCAGGCAGTTTCAAGCAGCGCATGCGTTTTGCAGCGCTGATGCGCACCCATGTGCTCGTGACGACCGCGTAATAGGAGCGACTAGTGCCACTAAATGTGACCCTGTGTTTGATATAACGATACAAGCAAAACCAAAGTGGCTGGAAACGGGCTGTGAGAGCCTCCTGCACACTTTATACATGCGGTGGACCTTGCGAAATATTTCTTTGTAGAATAAATTTTCCCTATCTTTTAGCAACAGCTCTCTATTGATTAGCTGGCATAAATTTCTGACAATTAGTACTGCTCAACTCGGTCAAATTGCGAAGCTAACTCATAAATTCGACATTTGGCTTGGAAAGTTTCTTTTCATTACAGAACTTCGATGTTACTGTAGCGTAATCACAATTGGCATTCAGCTTTGTCAAGTTAGCCTTCCTAGTGCATTTTGCCATCTACACACGCACATTGGTATGTGCAAAGGTCTGTGAAATATCGCTATGTTGCCCAAGCCGGCAAATTAAAAAAATTCTGGAAGTTGAGTAGTTGAACTAACTACTAGAAAGTGTCGGGTGCACGCGAAAGAAATTTAACATGCCAAAATCGATGACGGAAAAGCGTCGATCACCGGTGATCGATTTGAGTAGGCGTGGTAACGAAACAGTTAAAGGTTAACTCCGGCGATTTTTTTTCACCATGTCAAGATAATGGTGCTTCTATGTTCCTGAGACACTCTTGTCACGCACCCGGTACCTGAAATGCTCAAAAATAATTTTTAATTACCGAAGACTGAAACTGAAACCCAACCAAGTGCACTTCTACGTGTGACCTAACCATTCACCCAAACTTGCCTGATTTCGCATAATGCCCGCCAGATGGCACATGTCTTCAGCTGAAGTGCTTGCTCTATTATGGGGAATATATGACGAATCGTGTGTGCCTCACAATACAACACTTGCCACTTATCTCATGCCCACCAACATGGAAAAGGAAATGGCACGCTCAACGAAGGAAGCGCCGGCTAAACCCACGCAATCCATAACAGACAAGCAGACACTGCAGTGGACCATCAGTTCCATCACTTCCGCCAGGTGAAACTGAACGGCACATGCACAATGTTGCCACTGATTCTGGATAGCGAGGTGAGCGTTTAGAGACGAGCTAGAAAATTCACTTGAAAGGAATCTTCGACACACTCGAGCTTGCCATTTGGCATGAATGGCGCAAACATGCAAATGAACGTACTCGGCGAATTTCATAAAGATCCGTGGCCTTGAAAAACCTTTGGAGTTCGTCTTTAAAGAGGCCCTGCCACACTTTTCCAGGAGGGTCTGAAGTCACTGCTGATTGGAAGTCCAGGCTCCCGTGAACACGCGGGCCAAGTATTATAGCACAGCATGCGGTCTGGAATTCACTGCGAATTGCTGCAGTCGGCTAAAAATTGCTTTCTCTTCTTTTGACAAATGATGCTAGAAGCTCAAAAATCACTCGTCACAGAGGTCGTATCAGCCATTGGCTAATCTGAGCATGGCTCACTCAATCGTTACCAGGGTCGTGACTTGTCCTCGCACATGATTGCACTGAAAAGCCACGTAATTGAAGGGAAAAAAAAGAAGTGCTCCTGCGTATGAAGTGTCTTTTTTTTCCTCATGCCATTCCTCCCTGTCTTTGGCACAAGAGGATGCGATTGCAGCATGTGACAAATCTTTGTAACTCCACTCCTACAATTCTCAAAATTTTTGCGGCGGTGTATTCGGAGGCAATAAGCTCACTTAGGGAATCCATTTTACGGCTGCTTGAAAAAGTGGTGCTGTACTCTTTGAAGGTTTATGCTATAGTAAGTCGTATTAAAGTATAATATGGCTGTTTTGTGCAGGTTTTTTAAAAAAAATGGAATAATAAGAGAGAATTGTTTCTTTAGATTTGGTGGGAGCCAGCGTGGATGCATGTGCTCGCGCTGGATTTTCGCTTGCCCTGTAATGCCAAAGTTAGTAAACTTCTAGAACGCATGGGCAGCCGACAGATGTGACACTAACGCAGGTGCCGCAAAGTGAGGGTCTTTATTTGCAAAAGTGCACGCGGACAGTGTAGAAGATGCATACAAGCCTGCACATTGATTGGTGCAGGCCAAAACGTAAGGGTAGCTAATAGGTTTCCATGTTCTGTCCTTGCTGTTTTTTTTTTTTTTTGCACCCAGCCTAAACAGTCTGTCGATGCAACGGCTGCGACACCAGGGCCTGGAGCGACTTCGACGGTGGCCTCTGCGGGGACAGCCTCGCCTGCTGCTGCGAAGCAGCCAGTTACAGATGCTCAGAAGCCTGCGGAAACACCCAGCGGCACCTCCAAAAGTCCTGTGCAGTCACCAGTGCACTCTGCGGCAACCACACCAACCTCGTGAGTGGAGTGGCTCTCATCTAGCTAGCTCTGGTGAAAGCTTGATGTGCTACATCACGGTAGCCAGACCTGGGGTTAGAAGTGTATTATTGCGATAGCAACTATATGGACACACTTGGCTGGATTTGCTACTGGTGTTAACGCCAGTGTTGGCATTGCCATCATTCACGAGGGGGAAGTTTCAGAAGACTTATATTTATTCACAAATCGCAGGACATCAGATATTAATTGAAGTAATCGGTGATGCGCGTCTGCACACGCTTGCCTTGCAGCGAGTCAATCAATTTTGCACGCAGCTTGCAAAGCATTTCTACTTCGGCTTTAGCATTCTCCTGGCAAGAGAAGTTGCGTGCGAACAGCGCCAAAACTTTCTAAAGACGACGACAACGACCGCTGCATAGCAAAACCTCCCGCTCTCCGCTACGCAGCACGCACCAAAAAAGGAGGAGCGTCTCCATGCGGAGAGAAACATTTGAGAGAAAACCAACACTCCACGGCAGCCATGTGTTTTCTTTGCTCTCTTCGCACGCGTCGTTGAAAGGAGAAGGGTTACGTGGTAGGGACGGAAAAGGGAAAAGCGTGGCACCGACGCGTGAGCGCCCCCCCCCCCTCCCCTCAAGGAGTAGAGCCGTGCTCCCGCAAGGGGCAAGGGCTGCAGAAGATAGTGCCTTTTTCCTTTCCTTCCATCACACATTCATTCAACCCAGCGACAGCTTTCTTTTTTTTCTCTCTCTCTCTCTCTTTGTGCGTGACGTTGGAAGGAGAGGGGTCTTTAACGTAGCAGGGACAAAAAAAGAAGCGTGACAAGGGCGCGTCGCCAATCGGCATTTGAGAGAGAGCAGGCATTCCACCGCAGCCTTTCTTTCGTTATCATTTTCTTCGCGCGCGGCGTTCAGGTGTCGCAAGTGGTGCCGCGGGATTGGGCGGGGTGCTGAGAGCTTTTTGGAGCGCGGTATGTTCCAATTACCCGTCGCAAGGGCTTGCACGCTCTAATTACCGGGCGTTTTCGCTCATTGGAATACACATAGCTTTCACGGGACCTCATCGTGAGTTTGAATTAAGCGTGTTCGAATTATAGTAAAAGCTCATTAATTGGAACCGCAAGGGGAAGCTGCCTCAGTTCGAATGAACGAAAGTTCAAACTAACGAAAGTGAAGAACAACAATAGTACACTGCGAGTAGGGCATAACAATTTATTTTTTGAAAAAAATTTGTGATCGCGGTCTGTCTTCTTTCCTTGAAGGCGACAGCCAGCACTTTTTGCTCTAACGAGCGAATTTGGCAAAAGGCCTCTTCTCCGCCTTCTTCAAAACTTAAGAAAAGATGGGCGGCATTCAATCCGGCCATGACTTCCGCAGCAGAGGGCCGCACTGGTGCTTCGTCCTTGTCCTCATCATCGTCACTGGCAGAAACAGGTTCTGCACTTCTCACCTGACATATTATGTCGCCATCCATGAGTGCACCGCACACCACTGCACTTGAGTCCACATTGACGTGGACTCAAGTGCAGTCGACGCAACCTCCTCCTTTTGCTCGCAACTTCTGCGTCTAAGGCATCTTCAATAGTCCTCCTATTTTTATATAAGTAGATAGCGTCGTTTTCGGTATCCCATGCTTTTTCGGGATATCTTGCTTAAGCAAGGTCCGGCGTCCACTTCCCGCAGGATATCGGCTTTCTCCTGAAGTGTTTTGGCACGGTATTTGCCGTGGGCACACGCCGTCAAGTCGGAGCAGAAGAATCATGACAGACGGGAAGCTACTACCGGCGCTACCGCAACAAACGTTAGCCGAGGCCTAACACCAACACAAAGAATCGTGACAGTTGGAAGCTAGTAACAACAGAGGTGTACGACGCACACCCGAGACAGAAACTGCAGAGAAGGCTGGGCGAAGCTACGACGCACCCTATTTGCTGTGTGCTGGTCATACCATCTGTCATCAAACAGCGACAACTACGCAGGATTTTCTAAGACTCCGAGATTGGCACTTAAAAAAAAAAAAAAGTCTTGGAGGATAAGTAGGACGGAGAGCAGGCAGCCGCCGAGAGGGCAAATAACATGGGAGGTAGGAAAGCTGCTGCCGACAATAGATTACGCACTGATGTCACGTAGGATGTATGATAAGCTCAGGGGAATGCACATAGATGAAGATGGCTCCAGAAATCTGGGTAGTGATCACAAACGTATCAAGCTAAGTTTTGGAAAAGCAGCGAAAGTGGGAAGGAGACAAGATGAGCAACTACAGGAAAATTTTCATTCAGAAAGGCAAATAGAAGTAGCTACTAACCAAATTGAGAAAATAATTACTGAGGATAATAAAACGGTGTGGACATGCACGAATCTAATTGGACTGAGCTAGAGCTTGCTAAGGCACGTGACAAGTCACCCCAGAAAAGAAGACACAAACCCAAGAGTTGGTGGGATGAAGAAGTAAAGAGAGCCATAGCGAAACGTCAGGAAGCCTCTAGAGAATACAGACATGCTAAGCAGCTGGGTGAACCGAAAGATGATAAAGAAAGAAAATGGGACATCTTTCTAAGCTCTAGAAGGGAAGCATCCCTTCTGATCAATGAACAGATTAGAAGAAAGGGGGCTCAGTTGCTGGCAGAAATACATAAAAAGGATAGAAAAGCAGCTGCGAAATTTGGGAGCCATCTAAACTCCCCAAGGAATGAGACAAGCCTAGAACACGGGTTTATAACCACAGCTCAAGGTGCTAGGCTAGAAGAGAATGAAGCTATTGAATATGTAAGAACAAGGGTGACAAGAAAATTTCATCAAAGAAGTGCCTTATGTACCACAATATACAAGGATGGATTAAGTGGTGCAATGGCTCCATTTTCACAATGAGAGTAGGAAAGGGCTGAGAAGAGTGTTCTTAGTAGTACATCATCAGTCCCAGATGGCACTCCAATTATGCTGATAAAGACATCAGGCCTGAAGTATAAGCAGACTTTGAGAGAGGCAGTCAGCAAACTAATAATCGTTGGTGAAGTGTCTGATGGATGGAAACTTAGCAGGATGAGCATGATCTATAAAGGAAAGGGGGACAAAGCTGACATAAACAACTACCGTCCTATAACAGTGACATAAGTGGTCTACAAGCTGGCAATGCAGATTATAAAGGAAAGACAGCAGGCATGTATAGAGGATGAGAGGGTGCTAGGGGAACTGCAGAATGGGTTTTGGAAACACAGGAGCTTGGAAGACAATCTGTTCTCACTGACGCACTGCGTCGAAATAGTAGAAAAAGAACACAGGCCCCTGTGGCTAGCATTTTTGGATATCAAGGGAGCTCATGATAGTGTCGTTCAAGAGGACTTGTGTGGAATACTGGACACACTAGGTGTGGAAGATGGAGTCACTAATCTTTTAAAGGATATCTATAAAAGTAACAAGGTAGTTATAAAGTGGGAAAAACAGGTATCCAAGCCCACAGAGCTAAAACAGGGGCTTAGGCAGGGGTGTTCTCTGTCGCTCTTGTTGTTCATAACATACTACAAGGATTAGAGGCGAAATTAGAGGGAAGTGGACTTGGCTTCAACCTCTCTTTCGTCAAACAAGGAAAACTCGTTGAACAGGCACTACCAGCATTGATGTATGCAAGTGATATAGTGCCAATGGCCGACAACGAGGAATATTTGCAAAGATTTATCGACATCTGCGATAATGAGAGAGGTAGGTTAGATTTCAGATTCAGTAAGAAAAAATTAGCAGTCATAATTTTTAATGATAATGAAGGTAGTGAGCTTAGGATACAGGAGGTCACGCTAGAAATAACAGATAAATACGAATATCTGGGCATATGGATAAGCAATGGGACTGAGTACCTGAGGGAACACGAAATATACGTGACGACTAAAAGTAACAGGAATTCAGCAGTGATGGAAAATAGGGCACTGTGGAATTACAATAGGTATGATGTTGTGAGAGGAATATGGAAAGGGGTCATGGTTCCTGGGCTGACGTTCGGCAATGCGGTCTTGTGCATGAGATCAGAAGTTCAAGCAAGATTAGAAATTAAGCAACGTGGAATAGGTAGGCTTGCTTTAGGAGCTCACGGAAATACACCAAATCAGGGAGTACAAGGTGATATGCGATGGACATCATTTGAGGGCAAGGAAGCTAGCAGCAAGATAAAATTTGAGAAGCGATTGAGAGAAAAGGGGGAGGAGCGTTGGGCCAAGAAGGTTTTAAGCTACTTGTACATGAACAATGTCGATACAAAATAGAGTAAGCGAACCAGGAAATAGACCTCTACCGGGGTACGACACAGCGTCACGTCACCGGTGCACGTGCAAGGTGGTGGTTGGCAAATCACTCCCACCGTTGGCTGAGTGGGATGCAGTCGCTTTGTGCTTGGGGCAATTTTTTTTTTTTTTGAAAACTTAATCTTCATCTCAAGTGGCAGCATTAGCTGTGGCATGTGTCAGAAAACATCTAGGTGTGTGATAAAGTGCGTGATCAAATGTTCGCCATGCTGGCTGGCTATTTATCTACGAGAAGTGAGCACACGTGGTGGCCTGTGCGAGGAACAGCGCATCTTCGAAAATGTGCAGTGTTGACTTTGGCGTGTAGCGTGCGTTGAAAGGCATCGACAATATTGGTTCATCTTTACAGACGGTGGAACTGGGAATATTGTGCGTAGTGTGTGCAGTGTGAATAATGCGATGCTTCCTGTTTGCGAAAACACTAGTATTCGTTGTGGGCCGGTTTCAGTAACCAATTGCTGATGGAACTTTACGATCTGACATTGTAGTCAAGGTAAAGATACATTCGACTCGATCATTTGTGAGTGGGTACATCTCAGCGTATGCGCGGCGTGCAGAAAAATAAGTGAATGATCTGGTGATATATACGACTACGCATGAGTAGCGTTGCCGAATCTGTATATATGCTCCACCACGGCTTTAACTTGTAATATCGGATACCCGATACGTGTCGATGAAAACAGCGGAGGTTTTGGCTTCTTATCTACTTTGTACTTTTACGGCTCGATCC